AGAGGAACAAATAAAGCGACAGGCAAGTCAAGGTGACAAATACCAAAAGGACCTTCGATACCCTAGAGAAGAACTAAAGCAATCGAGCGATCTAAATGATACAAATCAGAACCAGATACGTAATCTCGAAGTAGAAATACAACAACGGAGAGCTAAAGTGGAAGATTATCAAAATAAAATCATTAGATTTGAAAAACAGGTGAAGCAGCAACGTGTTGAAGCTGATAAATATCAGGCTGAAATAAAAAATCTGAAAGAAGACATTGAAAATCAACAATTAAAGGAAAGCAAGATGCATTACAAGGCTGATATTGTGAAGTATCAGAGCGAAATTCAGGGACTCAAGCAAGAGATTGAGAATCAGCAAAATCGAATCAACGAACTTGAAGCCAACCAGCAGTATCATTATGATAGAGTGAATCATACGCTTGAGGACCAAAATGAGCAGCAAATGATTCAGACGAATATTGAGCCAGGTAAGTATATACATAGAAGATTAGCAAATTAAGCCAATTTTCTTTCATAAAAATTTTTGATTTTGTACTTTAAAACTGGATGAGGTTTTGTAAAGGAGTAAACAAGTTTTTTTAAATCTCTAGAACAGATCTTTGACGATGAAACTCTTTGAAAATAAACCTATACTTCTCGCTTCAGAGCAATCCTATCTGATTAAAGATTTTTTGATCTCTCTTATTGTCTTCTGTAAGATAAAAAAATTTATTTAACAACAACGTCTTTTTCTTTGATCGAGTTGATTATTTGACTCTTATGGTCTTATTTTATACTTTGTTGATATCATATTCTGATATGAAGTCGAAATTTTAATTTCATCGAAAATGAAGTTGTTTAAAACGTTTCAGACGATGTACCGAATATTATACAGCAAAATCATCTAATTTTTCCATTAAATTGAAATCATTACAATGTTCAGTGTGTTAAACTATTTAGTAAAGTATTGTTTGCTTTTCTAGCGGTAGATAAATATTTATTTTTCAGTATAATGATTCGAAGTTTGCTAGAAAAAAACAATATTTGTCTGATTTAGATCAGTAATTATAAGTAATAAAACGGTGTTAGGCAACTCTCTGAACCTGTGAATAGCTAGAAATCACAGGCTCTAAGTCCAGTGATTTAGGTCTGTTTGTCGATGCTTCGTTAACAAAAGATTTTGGTACATATTTTCTAACCTTAAATAGACAAGAAGTGTTTCAGCGGATTGGTATAGTCACTATGATATGCTAATATTGTTTTTTGATTTATAATTTCTTCATTGGTAAAACATTTTTCATATATTCATTAGAGCGATCGTCGTCTATATGGTCTCGCTTGTCCGGTCCCGATGCTACGGTCATTTTAAATCGAACGGGCCGTCCACGTATAACAAAACGGCAAAGAAAAAGATGTTTTCGAGTGCAACTGTAACGTTTTGGCATGTGGTTCTATCACTTATATCATTAAAATTTTTATTTTGTTTTATTTTTTTTCTTCTAATATAGAGCCATTGTGATTTTATGAGATAACTGAATTCATCATATTTTTTAAATATTTCGCCAGTTTCTTTGTTCATACTACTATTAATGAATGTTTATCACTTTCAATAACATTCAATATATTTTTTTTTGTTATGTACAAGTTTTGGGTGTGTTTAGGGATGCGACGGTGACGGTTAGTCACCGGTTCACCAAATGCATCGGGCACCGGTCACCGGTCCATCGGGCACCGGTATGAACCGGTCACCAGTTCACCGATTCACCGATCACCGGTTCACCGATCACCGGTATAAACCGGTCACCGGTTCTACAGCTATAGTTATCGTTGCATCCCTAAGTTCAATCAGTAATAAGAGATCTGAAAACTGTTTAGGTTAAATATTTTAGCATTTTTAACTGAATGTGTAACTATTGTATGATGCATTTGAAATTTCAAAAATCTTTAGTCATATTCTTGCAGGTCATTCTGATCTTGAAGACAGTTATTTACATTCTGATACACTATTTTCGATGAAATTGGAACTTATATGAGTGTATTTTTAATCTTTCTATGTTTCATTTGTTTTATAATTCAGTAAATCACATTGATTATATTGTGATAAATAATGAGCGTAAAGGTATACTCATTATTTTTGATAATGGATAAAATATTTTAATGCAAATAGTTCATTCTCGATATTTATTCATCAGTAGTAGGAAACCATTAATAAACCATATATAGTACAAAAAAATAGTTTTAACATAAATGTCCAAGAGAAAAAAAACACAATTCAACACGACAGTAACTTCTAAAACTTGTTTATACTAGAAAAATAAATCACATTTATACAATAATATCAAATGAAAAATAATAATTCGCTAATGTAAAGTAGTTGAAGATAAGTTGTCAGGAAGCTTCACAGGCAAACTCTCAACAAAACACATATATACTAAATTTTACACAATAATAATAGTACAATAAAAAATAGTTGTAATTGGTTTCCATACAAAAAGCAATGAAAGACAAGTAACGTTCGTCGCTTCGACTCACTTGACCCTCGACTGAATAGGGTAAACCTATTTTCTGTTAATACTAAACTGAGAGCATCCATATACAAATTTATATCTGATTTCGACGCAAATATTTTCTCTTGAATTATAAAAGTGCACAAAAACGTTTTGTATTTTATAGTATGATTTTAAGATGAACCTCATTTTCCAAGTAATATCTGTAACCAAACCCATATTATGTACGGATAATGCTCGTTGAGAATGCTCGCTTAATCTTCACCAAATAACTTTCAGTTGGCGCTTATAAAATTTCACGCTTAACTCTTTCACCATATCTGCTAAGGAGAGATATAACATGTTCTTTCATGACCGCACTATGTTTTTCTCAAAGTGTCTATTCAACTCGTAGTCGGTCGTCGGCGCCCCTTCGGTCCGCCACTCCCGGCTACTCGATAATGTTGATTACATTTGACGACAAATATCCCATTTACTGTCTTTTCGTATCGGGTCCGTTCTCTTCGTCACGTGTTTCGAGAAAGCAGTCGTTAGAGAGGGTGTGGGTTTATATGTGGATCTGGTCGTAGAGTTTGAGATTTGGATAGGGGCGTGAGTATTTTACCGTTCAACATTCTCATCCACATTTCCACCCACACCCACTCCTTCACACGGTCACCCAACAGACCTCAGATTTGAAGTCTGGGCATCGAATTACATCTAGAAAAGTCTTTTCCTAAAAGTTGGTCTTAAATCTTCTTTTGACCTTTCATTCACAGGCACCCACCCCAAAACATGGTTACCCAAAAGACCTCAGATTCGAAGTCTGGGCATCGGAGTACCGCTGGCAGTGATTTTTTCGAAAAATTAATTTTCGATGTTTTTTTGACCTTTGAGCCCACTTGGCCACCGACCCTCTCCACATGACCCCAGACAGACCTCAGATTCGAAGTCTCGGCATCGAAATCCCTCTAGAAATGATTTTTTCGAAAAATTAATTTTCGATGTTTTTTTTACCTTTGACTCAACTTGGGACCCGACCCCCTCCACATGGCCCGAAACAGACCTTAGATTCGAAGTCTCCGCATCGAAATACCGCTAGAAATGATTTTTTCGAAAAACTAATTTTCGATGTTTTTTTGACCTTTGACCCTTGACTTTTGACCCTTGACCCTTGACCCTTGACCTTTGACCTGCGACAGACAGACATACAAACGCATTTCCATTTTTTGGCCCACATTTTTTCCGTAAAATCCTCCTTTCAGTCGAGGGAAAAATGTAATAACTTGTAGATTTTTAATTATAATATAAATGACTGATGTATTAAAAATTTCATTGGAAATAAATGTCAATATATTTCAAATAAACATTTAAATAATCGATCTATTTATATTTAAATTAATGTATTCATGAATAATATTTACAATTATACAAGCAACTTGAATCGATAAATGTTTTATCTGTTATAGATTATTCTCGTTTGAAAAATCTTTTCTACTATTTACTTAAAATTAAAATCTAACATGACATTGATAAGATAAGTCTTTTTTGTTTGAAATTGCTGAAGTAATTAAATAATGGGAATGATAAATGCCTATGAGACATACTTATGTAAGTGGATCATATTTCCCTTTCTTTGTTTGAAATTGATATTTTTTTGTTGAGGGAAGAAGAGAACATAAATCTTAAGCAAAAGAAATAAAAGAAAATAGTAAATTGAAAGAAGTTTATAAATCATTGCTGTCTAGTTGATTATTATAAGAATATTTCTTCACGTATTGTTTATTTCATATGAATACAGAAATACGATAGATTGATCTAATTGATAATTTAGTTAGTTATAAAACTGTTTCTTCTAACTTATGCATATCAACGATATTTTGTAAAAACTATAAAAGAGAAAAAATGATTTAGAACTGTTCGTATAGAAGATATCATTTGACTAAAAAAATGATTCATCAATTCATCAGTAGTCCTTTTCTTTTATTTTGTCGAACTTTGTAATGGATATAATCAGATCATTTCACAGTTTATTGTCAAAATATATTTTCCATGATTTTGTATTGTATTTGGACAAACGAAGAAATGTCCGATATTTAAATCAATAGTATAAGTTTTCTTCGTTCATCGGCTCTAGCAATGATTATTTACCGATATTTATATATTCTTGTTATTCTAGATCAAATTCAATGTTCAATATACTAAAAGTAACAAGACACTGTTTTTCTGATTATTGTTGTGTTTGTAATGAATACTTACTCATTTCTTTTATTTTTTTGGTAACATATGATTTTAAAAATATCATACATCGCAGTCTTTGTCATGACTTTTACAAAATTATTTAGATAGGATATCTCTCACTGGAAAAACCAGAACACTGTGATGCATGATATATGATTAGAAACTGTTACTTAATATGTTGTTAAATAACAAAAAAAGGCTAATTATTAATATAGCAATTGTTTTTGCTTTATATTCGAATACATCACAATATTTTACTGTTCATTCTAAAATCAGATTGAGACAATGGTAGATTATAACAAACGATCTTTTTGGAATTTTACATTTAAAGACATATTAGCTATTATAAGTTCAGTCGCGATACCCATAGCCCTGGCTATTTATACTTCAATCGGTTCTGCACAACAAAAACAACAAGCTGAGAAAAAACAACAGTTTGATTTTGCACAATCAAGAGAACTAAGACAACAAACACTTTATGATGAATTTATAAATAATATTTATAAATTAGATAAAGATAGTTATCTCAACGACTCAAAAAATCCATGGGCATTTGCAAATGCATATTATCGTGCTGCTCATCGTCAATGGGATACAATACGTAAAGCAGATGTTATACAATTTCTGAAAGAAAAGCAATTAATTGGTAGAAATAATTGTACGAATGGATGTAAAACGACAAAATTAGATGATATGATTCGTTTAAGCGAGTTAAATTTTGATAAGGTACATTTAGCAAGTGAAACTGGCATATTAAATAAGTTGAATTTACAATGCACTTCTTTTGAACAAGTATCAATGTCAAATGGGGAGTTTACATCGGTTAATTTAAATGGTGTATCATTTGATGGAGCACGATTAGATAACGTGAAATTTGTTGATGCATCTTTAATTTGTGCTAGTTTTATTGGTGCAAATCTGACAGGTGCACACTTTTCAAATAGTGATCTGTCGGGAGTTCAAATGACCGAAGATCAAATAAAACAGGCATACTTTTATAATGTAACTATGCCAAACGGAAAGAAGAGTGAAACTAAATCCTCAACGACAACAAAAAAACCTATAACACAAACAACAACAATAATCAAAACAAAAATATCGACAACGTCATCATCATCATCAACTTCAACAACAACAGCAACAACATCCACTGCATCATTCATAACAACTTCAACATCATCAACCTCATCGACAACATCAACATCAACAGCAATATCGAGTGAGTACCATGTTAAATCCTTTGTAGTGACACAAAAGATGATTACTAGAAGTGATGATATTTAAAGTTTCGATTTTAACTATTGAATGATCGGCATCTAAATAGACAACACTAAGTAACATTTCCTATCAAAAGTCGAAATAAGACCAGTTTTGATGACTTGATTTGATCTATACTCATTTGAGTATTCAATATTCTTGTCCTGCCCAACAGTATTAGACGAAAACATTGCTGATAAAAAATTTTTCATGCAATAGAACTTATTGATCGTTTTAGTAAACACTCACTCACCCACTCTCGAGATGATTGGAGTAATTCTATACGTTGAAGTACTACGTAGTTGACATAATATTGACATGAAACATGCCTATCAAGATCTAGTATCATGTTTTAGATCGCATTTGTATAGAGTTGAGTAATTTAAAAAAATATTGTAAAAGTAGAAACTTTAAACTCGAGAAAAACGTTTTTCACCGTCACTATCAATTAAGCTTTAGTGTACTAATTTTTCCATGAAAACGATATGGGAACTTTATTCTCTTGCTCACAGTCACATCCTCATTGACATTCATTCTTATATACATCCTAATGCATACATACTCCGCCCCATTCAACATGGTGAAAGCATATCTTGTTTTGACTATGTTGAACAATGTAGACTAACTTTCACTCAAAGTCTAAAATTCGATCATTATTCATCATAACTGAATTGTAGAACAGTATTTCAATTTCGTCGGTTCGCAACATCGATAGAGCTCGAAAATATCCATAAAGTTGTTTGTAACATATTTTTCATTAATTTAATTTAGTATTTCATAATGAATCTTATCTTAGTCATAAAAACAAAGAGAAGTTTATTGAAGGTTTGAAATCACTTACTCTGTGATCAATAGACAGACAATTAATGCACATGTAAAATTCTAAATTATTTTAAGAGTAACATTTTTTACTCACTTTTCTGCTTCATCTAGAAATGACAATCACCGGCAACATGAGTATCGAACGATACGTTCACACAGCATCCACATTAGCAAATGGACTAGTATTAGTTAGTGGCGGAAGCATCGGTGGTATGTCTTTCAATAGTGCTGAATTGTACAATCCATCAACCGGCACTTGGACAGCTACAGGAAGCATGAATGTCGGACGACAATTTCATGCAGCATCCACATTAGCAAATGGATTAATATTGGTTGTTGGTGGAATGAGTAGTAGTACTGTCAATAGTGCTGAACTGTACAATCCATCAACCGGCACTTGGACAACTACAGGAAGCATGAATGCCGCACGAATACGGCACACAACATCCACATTAGCAAATGGGTTAGTATTAGTTACTGGTGGATCCAACTTTGATTGTCTCAATAGCGCTGAACTGTATAATCCATCAACAGGCACTTGGACAACTACAGGAAACATGAATGCCGCACGATACTATCACACAGCATCCATATTAGCAAATGGATTAGTATTAGTTGCTGGCGGACTGGGCAGCAATTATATTGATATCAATAGTGCTGAATTGTACAACCCATCAACAGGCACTTGGACAATCACAGGAAACATGAATGCCGCACGATACTATCACACAGCATCCACATTAGCAAATGGATTAGTATTAGTTGCTGGCGGGCAGGGCAACAATTATACTGATATCAATAGTGCTGAATTGTACAATTCATCTACAGGCACTTGGACAACTACACGAAGCATGAATGCTGCTCGACAGTTGCATACAGCATCCACATTAGCAAATGGATCAGTATTAGTTGCTGGACGAGTGTTCAAGGGTGATTATCTCAATAGTGCTGAGCTTTATCAATCGATATTCACAGAATGATATTTCTTTTTTGAACTGAACCATAATTTTTTTATCTGTAATCAAACTATTTAATCATTTACATTTCTTAATAAACTATCATTCATCAAATAATATATGAGTTGGACTAATATTTCGAAGTAATATTGTATGGCGGTTGTTAAAAAAGAGCGATAATTGATAAAAGACAGATTATTATTTGTACAACTGAGTTGGTATAAGTACAGATGTGAAGAATATCAATTATTCCTTGTTACTAAGCACATATATTCAAATGAGAGCGAGTTCACATATGATGATAAAGTATGAATATCACAAATGGATAGCTCTATAATTTGCTAAAACAAATCAATTTTTTCCAACGAAACTCTTTTTGTTAAATAGTTGAATCAGCTTGAATTGTTGTATTTTACAAAGAGGATATATATTTTATGTTCTTACTATGTTCATAATTTTATAAAACGAATGATACTCTCGACAAAGAAGAAATCAAATGCCCCTGTCAAAGAAACAAGGCATATTGTGGAAAGACTGCTACTTAATAGTGTGGGTGTTTTATCTGTCACCCACACCCACTTATTTGTGTGAACGATGTCAGATGATCTTCTTCAGTAGAGACACATCTGTGTTAGTTTAATAATACTTTTGTTTTTCGCACAGATATAAGGGAGAGATGAAATATGAGAATAATAGCAACTTAGAAATGTACTGGATTGCACAGAATACGTTCATTAGTTGTCGATCGAAAGTGACATAACTTGCCTACTGATTTTACTCTTTAGACTAATTCATATTTGTTTCGTAGTTATGTTGATATTGATACTGAATGGATGATTTATATTTAAGATAATCGAGATAAAATTAGCAACCAGTTCTTTCTCTTTTCTCTGAGATATATTTTTTGCATTTTATGTTTTTGAATATATAATAAGATTTCCGTCTCCCGAAAGAAACGAGAGCGTACGAACTCAGAGCATGGGTATGATATTAGATGCATTATATCCACATGCACATTCACACCCAGATCTTCACTGAACTTTTTTTGTCTAAATCAATTCTTGATGATTCATCTGTTCACCTAGACAATTTTGAGTAATTGTGCAAAACTAGCACAACCATATAAAGTTGGTTAAGCACTGTTTTTTGAACACGAAATCTTTTTGAGTTCAGCACTATCGAACAGAATCTTTTTTTTTTGAATATTATTCGATACTACACATTTTACAGTTCAGTATCATCCAGCAAAAGCTTTGAATCAATACTACTGAGCATAACTTCTCAATGTTTGACTAGTCTCACAGAGAGCCTTTTATTATTTCACGTCATCCAGAAGGATCTTTCAAAGCTTTGCTACTACCATACTAGATTTTATCTACCACAGTTTCACTCGAGCGTGCCTTTAAGATTTTTACCATTGTTATACACAACCATAGACAGATTTTGCACCTGCTGCCGACTCACATAATACCTTCCCAAAACTCTTTTATTGTTTTTGAGTCTCATGTCAATCACCTCATAGCAAAATTTCTAAGCAAACATTATCAAAAGAACACGAGATTAAAATGAAAAACAAGCAGTTTTATTTATGGTCATTTCGCAAATTACACTACAAGAAAAAATATCAGCATGATCATCACATGTTATGTATCCGTTATCGAAATGTGTTTAATATTAACATTCATAGTTGTTCGGCTCTTTTATTGCGTGCAATATATGCATTAATCTGAAATTCGACGTCGTCTCCGATTCGATTGAGTTCGGCATTTAGTGTAGTGAGTGTCTAGATGAAACAACGCGCGTAAAGACATGATGTATATGAAGAGAGATGGCTAATTACTGTGTTATGTCGTAATCCATCAGCCAAATGTTGTGCTCCAACATCACCAATTATATTACCTAGGAGATTCAGTGTGGTGAGTGTCTAGATAAAAAAAGTACAGGTAAATACATATTTTTGATGAAGAGAGAATGCTAATTACTGTGTTATGCCGTAGTCCATCAGCCAAATATTGTGCTCCAATATCTCCGACTTGATTCCATTGAAGATCTAGTGTGGTGAGCGTCTATATAAAAAGTCAAGGTAAAGACATCCTATACATGAAAAGAGAATGCTAATTACTGTGCTATATCGTAATCCACCGCCCAAATACTTTGCTCCAACATTTCTGACTAGATTCGATGCGAGATCTAGTGTGGTGAGTGTCTAGATGAAAAATTACAGACAAAGACATGGTATAAATGAAGAGAGAATGGTAATTACTCTGTTGTATCGTAATATATCAGCCAAATGTTGTGCTCCAACAGCTCCGATTTCATTATGTCGAAGATTTAGTGTGCTGAGTGTCTAGATAAAAACGTACAGGTAAAGACATATTTTAGATAAAGAGATAATGCTAATTACTATATTATGTCGTAGTCCAGCAGCCAAATATTGTGCTCCAACATCTCCGATATGATTACGTGTGAGATTTAGTGTGGCGAGTGTCTAAATGAAAAAGTGCAGATAAAGACATGTTATACATGAAAAGAGAATGCTAATTACTGAATTATATCGTAATCCATCACCCAAATGTTGTGCTCCAACATATTCGATAAAGTTACGACCGAGATCTAGCGCGGTGAGTGTCTAAATGAAAACAAAAAGGTAAGAACATAATAAACATGAATGAAGTATGACAATTACCATGTTATGTCGTAATGCATCTTCAAAATACTGTGCTCCAACAGTACCGATTTGATTACCTCCGAGATATAGTGCGCTGAGCGTCTGGATAAAAAAGTAAGGATAAGGTGTTGACAAAGATGAAGGGAATAAGAGAATTACCGTATTATATCGTAATGCATCACCGAAATACTGTGCTCCATCATGTCCGATTTTATTACCTGACAGATCTAGTGAGGTGAGTGTCTAAATGAAAAAAAATGAGGAAAGAACATAATAAAAATGAAGAGCGTATAAGAATTACCGTATTATGTCGTAATGCATAACCAATATGCAGTACTCCATCATCTCCAATTCCGTTAAACTTGAGATCTAGAGTCGTGAGCGTCTAGATATAAAAGTAGTGGTAAAGACATGACATAGGTGAAAAGAGTAAGAGAGTTACCGTGTTATTTCGTAATGCAAAACTAAAATGATGTGCTCCAATATTACCGATTACGTTTTCTGCCAGACTTAGCCTGATGAGTGTCTAGATATAAGAGTAGTGGTAAAGATATGACATAGATGAAGTGAATAAGAGGATTACCGTGTTATATTGTAATGCAATACCAAAATGATGTGCTCCAACAGCACTGATCTGATTACCTTTGAAAACTAGTGTGGTGAGCGTCTAAATCAAAACAAAAAAGGTGAGAACATAATAAACATGAAGAGAGTATGAGAATTACTGTGTTATATCGTAATGCATCACCTAAATACTGTGCTCCAACATCTCCGAGTTCACAATCTTCCAGATTCAGTGTGGTGAGTGTCTAGAGCAAAAGTGAAAATAAACAGATGATATATATAAAAATAGAATGAGAATTACTGTGTTATGTCGTAACGCATCAGCCAAACGTTTTGCTGCATCGGCTTTCAATCGACTATGTTGAAGATTCAGTGTGGCAAGCGTCTAGAGAAAAAGGTGAAGTGAAAGACATGATATAGATTTTGGAAATACGGCGGTCAGTCGTTTTTATAATTGTTTATTATGGCAGTCGTGGTAGTCGGGAACGTGTTGATTGGCGTGTGTATATGAGTCTGAGGATTTCTATGGTCTTACATGCTGTACAGTGTTGAAAGTGATCACGTGAAAAGTTGATTAGAAAGGAAGGTATGGAGATTGACGATTACAGAGCATTCGTTTCATATTTTAGTTAATGTACTTGTTAGATTGGTTGGAAAAGGTGATGGATATGTGTTTATTGAATGAGAACCTTTAAATACGTCTATGGGAAACAACTGTGTAGGGTTGGATGATGTTCGGGAATTCCGAAGTATTATACGAAATAATATAGATCGTATTGAAGTGGTATCCATCATTATCTTAGTGTCCCGCAGATATGGCAACAAGGTAATTCCTTTTCAGTAGTTTCTCAATGGGATTTTTTTATATGAATCAATGACACTATGGATATTTTCTACCAGAAGTCTCTATCAAGTGTCTGACTTTTATTTATTCATGTGGAGAATATGTATTGATAAGAATATTTACTAATTTTAACTGTTGCTTTTAATGGCACGGAAAATTGTCTCTATGAAACAATTTTTTGGATGCTATTAAATTCATGGTAGATATCAGAGTAATACTTACTAAAATGTCTGACAAAAAGTATCGCTTTAGAATTATCTACGACTTTTCATTCTGGTAATGAAGTATGCTCGAAACTTCGTCTTTAGAAAAATGTCCTCTATATGAAATGTGGTTTTGAAGTAATATTCTTGGGAAAAGGTTCTACCTTGATGGTATGGATTTAAGTTATGTAACTAGTTAAGTATGTCGATGTCGTTGTGAATCGCACTTCTCCCCATCTCCATGCTCTCAAATGAACACGTATCGGCGATGTTTTTCACGAAAATTTCTAGGATGTTATTTATAACGAGATAAGCTAGTTCATAGGTGGTTAATTTCTTTCAAAATTTTATTTTTATTTTCGAAATGGTATGAAAGAAGGAATTAGACATACATCGAAAAATAAATAGCAGGGTTTTATTCATTTCTTATTGTTCTTATCTAAACATTGTGTGTTTATGATATCATACTTGGTTTGAAACGTGAGTATTTAGGTGGAATTGAAAAGAAAGAAAAAAAGAAACTATTTTTCACTGATTAGCACAACATTATTCTCATATTGTTATAATACAGCAAGTGAGTTTTAGAAAGAGATTAATTCTGATGAATTAATTTGAGTAAGATATGATTTATTGAAGTTATTCCACTTAAGTATTGATTATTGGAATGAAAAATAATTTGAGAATTAATAGATAAAAGATAGACTTTAATGATAGAAAAAAGTTTACCTGAAATCGATCATAACTGTTAACGATGCTGTTGAACCGTTGACACACAATGCTCATTGGACATAGAATCATAAAATTATCTAGATGATCCAGTATTCGGTAGACAAGTTCTACTGGTAATGTAAGAAAGGTGGCAATACTTTGTTTGGACATTATAAACTATTCGTGTGTAAGGATTACTTATAAATCCGCCAAACAACAATGAAACAAAACACCAGTCTTATATACACTTTCAGTCTAAAGAAGCCAAGACAAGAGGGAGGAGAAAAAATGTAAAAGTAGTAGAACAAAATAAACAAAATGTGCATTGAAGAGAACAGGACGTGGAGAGCCAAAGAATGTTAGGAGAGGATATATCATAGTGTGTTGCAATGCATGTTGTATAGCCTTATATATTCATTGTATGATATATTGTTGTTTTTTCTTATCATTGAATGAGTTGATATTTGTTCTATATTGCAATTGGTTATTAGAAGAAAATAATGATGTTATTGACAAAATGGTAGAATTGTGACAGCAATTATAATTTACATTTTCATTAAGACTATTTTCGTAACATAAAATGATTTATAGTATAATGTATATGAAAATACAATACTTATTGTTCACAAATGAGGGTGGGTGGGTGTGGGTGTGGATAGGAAGAAAAGACGCTCACATCCACAGCCAGTTACTTGTATCATTAACGCACGTTACGCAGTTTAAAACAATTTTTACCGAATTTTATTTTTTTTAATATTTTTATGCCAATATTTATACTCGTTAATATGACTAGACAATACCACATCTTCTTTATTTGTTGATTGAGTACAAACAAAAACGTCATGTTCTACAAATATTATATCGGAGCTCAGTCATTTGATTTCACACCTACGATATCAATACAGAAAAAAAGTACATACCATAAATATATTACTTTTACTTTAAACTGTTCTTTTTAATCGGTTTGTCACAGAAACCACTTTTTCAAATTGTGATAACAATCTATCTATAATATCCTTAATATAATAAGGAAAACATAAATATAAATTCTTTTTTTTTTGGTTTATTTTTTTAAAAATCAGAAACCAAGTCATAAAGAAAGATTTCTTCTTAAGAAACTCCATACAATATTTTGTTCGGGTGACCCCCACGAAATTAATCGTATTATATTTTTAAGAAGATACATACGCAAAGGGTTCTTACATATACATTTGTATATCGAATCTATATTTTTGCAACAACACCACATATTGAAACATTGTAGTTGATAAAAACTGAGAATTTATTTATCGTTATATTTGAGGAATGAAAATTGTATTTTATGCGTAATTGTTTGAACTTTTTATTAATACAAAGAATAATATAATACGTATCTTTATTTTACTAATATGAATAATTTATTTTTATCTATACTAACAAGTAAAGATAAATTGACAAATCTATTTGTAAACTTATAACAAAGTATTGAAAATATATTATTCATCTCATTCATGAACATACCTTCGAACTATATTTGACTTACAGCTAGTTATGTGTGATATGCAATATGAAGTAAAATATTAAAAAAACAATTTTCATTTTATACGAGCTTTCGATGCTGAACTTGCATCATCATCAGGCATGATGGTCTAAAGATTTATTATTATTTATGAATAAATTACAATTAAAAAATTAAAAAATACATGTGTTGAAAGATATGTCATTTATTGTTCGATTAGCTAATCTTTTAGTATACAACGTTTCTTTTATTTCTCTCTTTCTCTGATTATTGTCATGTGCTATTATTGATGTATCTTCGAATCTGAAATGATGGTTATGTGTTTTTGTATGGTTTACCAGATTACTAAAGTTTTGTTTAAGATTATTTACGGGTGTGGGTGCTATTCCTATGTCAGAACCAAACCCACACGCTCACGCACACCCATATCCACACTCAACTTCTCACCCCTAATTTAAATTAAAACAAAAAAGTTATCAAACCTTTCTATAAGAAATTACTATAGGTCCACCACTACTTTTGGAATGGCCTAAGTAATAGATCAGAACAAATAAACGATTTGAAGAAGTATATCATCAATTTTAATGCCTTTCAGATGCTAAATGAGTGCTCTATTATATAAGTTACATCTGTATGTTAAAATAACATATCATCACATCATCCCGACATTGTCAATATTCGATTACGTTTATAATCACTAAAAATAAATATGATTAAATAAAAAAAGAAATGTTCTTTTTTTGCTTATTTATTTTTTTTTTGAAGAAACAGAATGAAAAAGATATAAATGAAAGAACAGGTGTAAACTTTAATC